ATGGTGTTGCATTCATTGTCAAAAAGAACATATCCAGATCAGTCATGAGGTACAACACTGTCTGTGATAGGATAATATCCATGCACCTACAGGAAAGCCCAGTTAATACCACTATTATTGAAATTTACACACCAACCACTAAAGCCAGTGAAGATGAAATACAAGAATCCTACCAACTTCTTCAATCTGAAATTGATCAAACACGCAATCAAGATATATTGATCATTACTGGTGATTTGGATTGGAATGCAAAGGTTGGGAGCAAAGAGAAAGGATCAGTAGTTGGGGAATATGGCCTTGGTGATACAAATGATGCTGGAGAACACATGATAGAATTCTGTAAAACCAATGATTTGTTCACTTCAAATACCTTCCTTAGACAGCATAACAGACAACTAGACACATGGACCTTGACACATGGAATGCATAGAAATCAAATTGACTACATCTGTGGAAAGAGAAGATGGAAACGCTCCATATAATCAGTCAAAACAAGGCCAGGGCAGACTGTGGAACACACCATCAATTACTTCTATGCAAATTCAAACTGAAGCTGAAGAAAATGAAAACACGAGAGCCAAAATATGATATTGAATATATCCCACCTGAATTTAGACATCATCTGAAGAGCAGATTTGATACATTAAACACTAAAGACCAAAGACCAGAAGAGTTGTGGGATGACATCAAGAACATCATACATGAAGAAAGCAAAAATTCATTGAGAAGACAAGAAAGAAGAAAAAGGTCAAAATGGATGTCGGAAGAGACACTGAAACTTGCTTTCCAGGGCAGAGATGCTAAAGCAAATGGAAGAAATGAGGAGGTCCAAGAGCTTAACAGAAAATTTGAAAGATCAGCTCGAGAAGATAAAGCCAAATAATACAATAAAATGTGCAAAGATCTGGAATCAGAAAACCAAAAAGGAAGAACATGTTCAGCATTTCTCAAGCTGAGGGAACTGAAGAAAAAATTCAAGCTTCGACTTTCGTTATTGAAAGATTCTCTGGGCAAATTATTGAATGATGCAGAAAGCATTAAGAGAAGATGGAAGGAATACACAGTCATTGTATCAAAAGGAAATGGTTAATGTTCAACCATTTCAAGAGTTAGCATATGATCAAGAGCCAATGATATTGAAGGAGGGAGTCCAAGATGCATTGAAGGATTTGGCAAAGAACAAGGAACCAGGAATTGATGGAATAAAAATTGAAATCTTTCAAGAAAGTCAAGCAACTAAGCAGACACTCACTCATCTCTGCCAAGAAATTTGGAAGACAACTATCTGGCCAACTGATTGGAAGAAATCCATATTTGTGCCCATTCCAAAGAGAGGTAACCCAACAGAATGCGGAAATCATTGGACAATCTCTTTGATATTTCAAGCAAGTAAAGTTTTGCTAAAGGTAATACAGAAACGGCTACAATCGTACATTGACAGAGAACTTCCAGAGGTTCAAGCCGGATTCAGAAGAGGCC